AGTTAATTACCTGTATTAGCTTTTCTAGAGTTTGAAATAGAGCACTTAGTTGCACATTCATAAGCAATTTTTGATGATATCTTATGACATTTCAATAGTGTACACACAGCAATACAACCTGCATATAAGGGGGGTTTTCTCAGGAAGCGTTTACATTTAAAAGCACACTTCGCTATACAAAGTCCCTTAAGAATTGGGTTTTTTGAAGGTGATGGAGTTGGAGAAAAATCGTCAGCTTGTGCCACAACTAATAGTAACATAAATATAATTGACATAATTTTTTTCATCTCAAACTTTGCCATACCTCTTCTCTATGTTAATTTAGTTTTGATAATCTAAAGCAGCGTAAAACATCTCAATTTATAAGTAGAGAAATGAATACTTTAAAAATAACGTGAAGATAAATTAAAAAAGAGATCAAAACTATCTAAAAATAAAATGGGGGGAATAATTTCACGAAAGAACACTAATATAAGAACAAAACTTTATTTTAGGAAAAGTTTTAATAAATTTTAAAGGATATGATATTATAATAAAATTTATTTTTTCTATTATGTACATGTTTGATACACATATGATAATATGACAATAAACAAATATATTTTATATGCATTTAATAGTAATATGATAACATATATTATAAAAATGAAAATTACCAAGTCTCATTTAAAGAAAAAAAAAATTCAAAATCTCAAAGTAAGTAAGTAAAATTAGATATATTAAATTTAAATAATTAATGATACTATTCAAAATAAATTATAACTTAAAAAATAAGTTGATTAAATAAACTTTTTGGTATAATGTTATATATATATATATATATATATATATATATATATATATATATATATATATATATATATATATATATATATATATATATATATATATATATATATATATATATATATATATATATATATATATATATATATATATATATATATATATATATATATATATATATATATATATATATATATATATATATATATATATATATATATATATATATATATATATATATATATATATATATATATATATATATATATATATATATATATATATATATGAAAAGAAATATTTTAAAATCTCGGTAATTACATAAATTTTGATATATTAAAGAAAAAATCAATAATAATATTTAAAATAATAATAACTCTTGCAATAAGTAATATGAATAAATAAAATTTTTATGGTGAGAAATAAGAATAATTTCTCATAACCATTAATAATTAATAATAACCAAACTTTTGATCTATTGAAATTAAAGAATTATATAAACTTCTCTATCAATAATCCTATTTTATGATACCTTAAGTAGTACATGCAAAATTTTAATTCACATTATATTTAAGGAAAGTATATTTTTTGAATTTTAAAAATTAAGATAACGAACTAAATAGTTTTTTTAGATTTTTTTTAAATTTAAATATTTGTACTGATAGGTTTTTTTTTTATAAATATTTTTAAAATAATAACCAATTATCTATAGTTATTTTATAAAGATATAAATTAATACATAAATTAAAACCTATAAAAATAGTTTTTGGATTAATAGGTAAATATATTAACGATTTTAAATAATTAATCGCTGCTCTTTTTATTGACTGAAAATTAATATTTATATCTTAATGATGGAATAACAAACACCACATGTAAATTATTTTATAATAGAAAATTTATAAAAAATAGTTTATTCTTTTATCATTATTCTTAAGATGAAACATATATTTTTTATCAAACTATTACTAGAGATTATTTATTACATAAAGAATACCATCATGCTCAAGGGATCAAACTAAATTGATTCATATCTTTAAATTAAATTTATATTTCCTGTTGTGAATTTTGGAGATTTGCAGATTTTTAATGACAGATATAGTCTGTAGGTAAAAGTTCATGAGCTAAAACGACAGACAACTGAAGAAGATGAAGGCGTGGCATAACTTGGTTGGGCCATTTGAAATAGCGCGCGTTTTTTATAAAAAGGATTTCTGGCCATTTTATTTTGATTATATTATTTTGCGTTTGTTTGTATAAGTGAATGACCACTTGGCTTAGATGGTGAAAGAAGCGCACTGGAAGGAGAGGAACTGGATTCGAGTCCCAGGTCCAACATTTTATGTTTTCTAACTTGTTTCTTGCAGATCCAATAGGTCTCACCCCCAGGCGCGCATCATGCACCATCAGATCCAGCCATCAAATCTGCATGGTTCTGGATCCAGTGCCTCTAGCATGCAGGCACACCATGACGTCCATACCATAACAACATGGGATCAGGCGCAAGGTTGTGGGCCAACTAGACTTGGGCTTAGACCAATTCAACAACACCTCCTCCAGTTTGGGTTTCACACCCCCTATTTCAGGCCCATTTCTCAATTTATTTATTTCTATTTTTTTTATTTAGTTTTATATTATTTAGTCAATTCATTTTTTTTCTTCATAAAATCAGAAAATCACCAAAAAAATAATAAACTTAGTTTTTCTATATTAAATTTAATTTTTGATAAATAAAATAATTTGACTTAATTATTTGGACTTATTTCATTAATTAAAATTAATTAGAGAATTAGCTTAAATCACACATTTTTCATAAAATACAAAAAAATATTTTTAATGAGCAATTGAGTTTTTTTAGGGTTTAAAACTTTTTCCCGTCTAAATTTTGCGCGCTATTATTTTTTCCATACGATGATTTTTTTACCACTTATGTAACTGCACCCGGTTTGTAATAGCTAACGTAGGGGTTTTATTTCCGCATTTTTACTTTTCGTTCATTACTCATGTATCTATATAAAAGCCCTGTAATAGCATAGGACTTTATTTCTCGCTTTTTCTTTACATGCTTGTATATAATTGTTATTAACTTAGGCGTGCATGACAAGAATCAATTATTCAGTAGAACAGTAATTGCAAGATAAACATAACTGAAAAAATACATTGTTGCACACTTGCACCCTTAGGGTATACCTCATTTGGTTGCCTCAGAAAATAATGGTCATGTCCCTAGAACGTAGGGATATCTTAGCAAAGACCCTCAATTCTAAAGTTATCAAAAAGATCATGGTCCCTAACGTCACTCGAGTTGCCTACGAGAAATGATCTTGTCCCTCGATGTTGCCTATATGATGACAGTCCCTTCGAATGCTAAGATATCCTTACATGTTGCATTCAATGACCATATCGTCCCTTTCGATAGCCCATCAACATCCAACGATAGGGATACCTACTCACTAATAGTAGGATAGCACTATCTAAAGGATGGGATGAAAAGAACACCCTTTTTCGAGTAGGTAGATGACTCTTAAGTACTTCCTCAAACCTGAAATTTTCACACTTACACACTTTTAAAAATCTTTTTAAAAACACTTTATCACACTCTTGAAGACTGATACAAGAGTTATCATAAAGCAAACAAAAACTTTCAAAGTACACAAACACAAACAGTTTTTAAAAATGAGCAAGTACCTAAGAGCCCGTGGAAAACCACAGATGGAAAGGATGTTAACACCTTCCATTTCCATAATCTACCCCCTTACTCAGAAAATCTCGTAAAAAGTCTTTTTCTGTTCTTTTCATCCTTTTTTTGTTGGATAAAAGAAAAGTCAGTGACGACTCTTGCTTACCAAAACATTTGCGAATACAAATACAAAACCAGTATAACAGTCGGTTCTGCCACCGTATCACAGAACTGACGACTCTGCTGGAGAAAAATAATAAGGTGGGGTTTACCTTAGGGTCTAGATCAAGTTTAACTTGCTTCTCTGTCTGTTTGATTGTTTTACTTTTAAGGGTATTGTTTGGGTACTATAGATCCTACACCAGGATCTGGGAAAACCTTTTAGATAAGTAGCAATAGAACGTGGAAATTATGCGGGGTATACCGACACGGTTGAAGTGATGGCTACGTTGATGCGTCAGTTTGGTCGGTACCGATAGCTCACTACAACATTTGTTGTCTCTGGCAACACTTTTTTAGGTAACATGTAGAAATTGTTGCCTTAAATTCATATAGGCAACGGTTTACGATTGTTGTCAAAAATATGTTTGTAACCCTTGATAATCGTCGCCTAAAATACTTTTGGGGACGTTTATGGAGCGATACTCTTTTATTTTTTTGCCAATGGTTGTTAATTGTACCCTTAACTGCTTTTGGGGACGATTTTAGAGCGTTAAAATATTATTTCTTTAGCAATGTTTGACAATTGTCCCTTAAAATATTTTTGGGGAAATTTTTAGATTGTTACATTAGTTCTAATAAAAGGCTACATTTCTGAAATGTTGTATAAATTTTTTTAGAATTATCAAATTTTTGGTGGCAATCTTCCCTCCAAAACTTATACACTAAAAAACAAATATTTTTCTCTAAACATTATTAATATATATAAAAATATATATTTTTCTAACACAGGAATTTAAAAATAAAAAATTTCAATTAAACAGAAAATAAAAAATTATATATATATATATATATATATATATATATATATATATATATATATATATATATATATATATATATATATATATATATATATATATATATATATATATATATATTAGTCTAAAACTTATATATATTTCAATTAAACAGGAATTTTTCTAACACATTATTAATATTTCTCTAAAATTATATATATATATATATATATTAAAAAAAAATTCAGTAAACAGAAAATAAAAAATTTTCTAACACAGAAATTTAAAATATTTTTCATTACTAGTCCTCTCAATTATTGCCACGTCTTATTAAAAAGGGTACGCAGATAGCAATTGGGCCTGGCCCAAACATATTACCAGCAGGAAGAAAAAAAAAAGAGTAAATGAACAAGATGAGTGGGGCGGGTTTGTGGTGATGTAAAGCCTAGAACGAAAATTGAATAACAAAAAATATAAAAGCCACACCGTCCATTATTCCCTTCCACATTTTTTCTTCGTGTTCTCTCCCTCATCTTCTGTCTCTCTTACCTCACACCTAAAACAACAACAACATAATGAACCCTAGATCAAAACCCGATTCGGCGACGGTGTTGTCCTCCTATCCAGATTCTGGTGGCCTTGGGTGTGGCTATGTGATGAATAGATGGGGCTTCGCGGTGGGTTCGGTATCAATGGCGCTTGGAGATGGTGTCGCGGATGAGAGATCGAGTCCCAGAGGTCTGGGTTTTGTGCCGTGGTTGAGTTGTCGGTGGAACAGTTAAAAAGGCTTACGATCTTTTGGAATCCACACCAGATGCTTTCATGCTGCAACAATTTTCCAATCCAGCCAATACTCAGGTATAAGGTTAACAGAACTTAAATTACTATTTCGGTTCAAAACAGTCTTGTTTCAAATCACTATTGTTCCGCGATATGCCTTCAGTACAAGTTTTGTCATATAGTGGTTATAGCGCCTCTATGGCACTGTTATGTATCAGAGTTCAAACCAATAGCTATTTTTTGCAATCTGCAGTTGGCAATACAGTTCTGAAATCTTTGATATTTTGGCGAGTTTATATCTAATTTACTATAAAATTGGAAAACAGGTGCATTTTGAAACAACAGGTCCGGAGATATGGGAGGATACAAACGGACAAGTGGACATTTTTGTTATGGGAATAGGTAGCGGTGGCACAGTTTCCGGGGTTGGATAATATCTTAAATCCCGAAACCCCAACGTTAAGGTGATTTTCTTCATATCACAATTAAAATTACAAACTAAACACTGTTCTGTTAGATACTCTTAATGAATCCTTTGAAATGTTTTCAATCTTATCAGATATACGGAGTAGAGCCATCTGAAAGTAATGTGCTCAATGGTGGTAAACCAGGTAAATATCATAGTTCATTTCTTAGTCATTTTTGGTATCTGTGAAGTGATTTATAGAAATATAGATGTAAAAGATGGTTAAAATAACGGTAGAAAATAATGAAAATAGTTATCGCAAATTCTGATGTGGTCCATATATACAGGTCCTCATCATATAACTGGAAATGGTGTTGGATTCAAACCAAACATATTGGACATGGATGTAATGGACAAAGTTCTTGAAGTAAGTACATGTGATTACCTTCTTCTACATAGAAATTTAGCTTGAAAGCTTTGTGTTTTTTCTAACTGTCACAAACTTACGATGTTGTAGGTTAGCAGTGAAGATGCAGTTAACATGGCTAGGACATTAGCCTTGAAAGAAGGACTCATGGTAACCTTGAAATGTCAATTTTGTTCACTGTTTGAAACAAGAAACTCATGACAAAACTTCAAGCTTTATTCATTTACATATGATTCTTGAATATCTGGCAATGAAATGTTTATATTTTAACTATTTTTTCTTTCGAATTTTTCTACCAATATTATTGATTTATATTTTTCTAATTATGTTATAGTATCAAAATAGTTGTTAATGTATGCAAAAATTTGCAAGTAGTGACAACACCAAATCCCTGTAATAGCGTATGACCCTCCATTTTATCGCTTTTATATTCTGTATATACTTGTATATAATTATTAGCAACCTAGGCGTGCATGCTTAATCAATCAATCTTATATCACTAAACTGCAAGATAAAATATCTGAAATAGCACACTATTACACACTTGCACCCTTAGGGTATTTCCCACTTGGTTGCCTCAGAAACAATGGTCTTGTCCCTCGAACGTAGGGATACTATTAGCAAAGACCCTCAGTTTAAAATCATCATAAAGATCATAGTCCCTAAATGTCCCTCGAGTTGCCTACGAGAAATGAACTTATAATGATAGTCCCATCGAAATGCTAAGGTATCCTTACATGTTGCCTTCAATGACCATTACGTCCCTTTCGATAGTCCCTCAACATCCAACGATTAGGGTTACGTAATCACTAATAGTAGGATAACATGGTCTAAAGGATAGGAGGAAAAGAACAGTCTTTTTCGAGTAGGTAGATAACTGTTAGGTACTTGCTCAAACAAATTTTCACACCACACTTTCAAACACTTTTCAAAACGCTTTCTCACACTCTTGAGGACTGATACAAGAGTTACCATAAAGTGAATCGCCGCACTAAGGCATTTTCAAAACTTTTTTTCACACAAACACGAAAGCAATTTCAAAAAATGAGCAAGTACCTAAGAGCCCGTAGAAGACTACAGATGGAAAGGGTGCTAACACCTTTCCTTCCCATAATCTATTCCCCTTACTCAAAAATCTCGAAAAAAGATATTTTTCTGTTCTTTTAACCCTTTCCTATTGTTGGATAAAAGAAAAGTCGATGGCGACTCTTGCTTACCGCGACATTTGCGAACAAAAAACGCAAACCAGTTCTAACAGTCAGTTCTCCCACCGTATCACAGAACTGGAGACTCTGCTGGGGACAATTATGAAGTGGGGTTTACCTTAGGGTCTAGATCATTTTAAATTGGTTTCTCTGTTTTCTTTGACTGATTTATCTTTGAGGGTTTATTGGGGTATTCTTGTAAAGATCCTATACCCTGATCTGGGGACACTTTTTAGGTAAGTAGCAATAAATCATTGAGGTTGTACGACATAGACCGATAAAGACAAAGTGGTGGCTACGTTAGCGCGATACTTTAGATTGTACTAATGTTCCTTGAGCAAGTTAAAGATAACATTAGGCTTCCTCATAGTGTCACTAAAGGCTAACTGACCTTTATAACCTTTAATTGACTCATCCTAGCCCTTAGGAAGTAGTGAGATAACCGACTTTGGTTCCGACCGAAGATTGGTTGATACTCGATACTACACTCATTGAGGCTGGACTTTCAGGATTTATTTGGCCGCAATACTTTGGTGCAGGATGAAACAATTTCTGAAGGGAAGGTCAGTGATATTGAGGCTCCTTAGAACCATATTACTATTAATAGGACAGGTTGAGCCAACTGTATATTCAAGAGGGTACATACCTTAAAAACTCATGCAAACCTTTGAACCTAAGGTCTATTGTGTGATTTGCTTGTGTTTATGTGTGATAATTAGCATAATCATGACATCATAAACATCATGACATTCATACATACTAATCATTTCAAGGACCTGTTGGATTTACCTCTTGGCTATTTTGTAGGATATGAATTCAGGTCGCAGAAAAACCATCCGGATTCACTTCACAGAAGTTCCTCCTAAGCTCAAGGAATTAGTCTTGAAAGTCCCCAAGGACTTATCATTCCACAAAAGACATGGTCACTTGCTCAGTTTGGTTACCACCGGGTTTAACGAAGGTTTGATGAGTGTCTTATTCCAGTTCTTCGACCCTAAGCACCATTGCTTCACATTCCCCGATTATCAACTGGTGCCTACACTGGAAGAATTCTCTAAGTTACTTGGTTTACCTATATTGGAGAGAGTACCTTTCACTGGTTTAGAACAAGACCCAGCTTCTGAAAATTTTGCCGTAGCTTTGCACTTGAAACCATCTGACATGGTATCAATGCTCCTAGTATCTCCCCCCAACATGGTATTAGAGCCTATGGTTTGAGAAAGGGACCGGAAGAGTGGGGGAGCATTGTAGACTCACACTAGAGGGGGAGTGTTGGAATAATATAGCAAGTGTGAGTAAGTGGGGAAATATTCCCACATTGGATAGGAATGTGGAGACTTAAACATATATAAGTGGGAGAATCCACTCACCTATCACCTTAAGGTTTTAGGTGGAGAAGTGGTGTGTCTCTCACAAAAGTGTGCTTGCACTACGCCAAAAATGATTTTTTGTATCACCTAATTTAATAGCACTTTTAAAAAAAATGCTATTAAAATGGAAAAAACACATTTATAATAGCACTTTTTAATCGGGCGCTATTATATAATACAGACTATGTAATTTTGATAGCACTTTGTACCAGAACGCTATTATTAAACTTCTTTAAGATAGCATTTTGTATAAAACGCTATTATTTGACTACCTATATAATAGCACTTATTAAAAAGCGCTATGTTATATATAATAATTAATTAATTAATTAATTGATAAAAAAAAAAAAAACACATTTTCCCCCGCACCAAAACCCCAATATCTAAACCAAAACCCATTGCGAAGGAGTAGCACCGTGGCATCACCAAACGATCACCAACTTCACTCACTCGCGATAATGGCAATGGACGATTCACATTCATCTCTGTTCAACCTAGGTATTCTCGACACTCTCACCCAAGACGAACTTCACGAAATCCTCGACAGCTACGACGCCTTCTGCAACGCCACACAATCTCTTCTCGGCGGTGCCGGCGACCTCTCATACGGTGCTCAATTTGTTTCCCATGTTCACACCCTATTCGTGATTTTGAGTAGCTGTAATGAGGGTTTGTGAGGTTAAGTTGCAGTTGTGAGTTTGTGGTTAAACTGTTTGATGAAATGCCTAACTGAGTTTTTCATTTCAAAAAACAGATGGAGTTGACTTTAACCGAACAAGATGCCGCTCATTGGGTTTACAGAGGTGAAGGTGCTGCTAATATTGTTGTCTCATACACTGGTTCTTCTCCTTCTTACGTATGTTTATTCTTGTAACTCAATTTTGCTTAATTTAATGTTTATAGTTTAAGGCCAATTTGTATTGTGTTTAGAATTTATTTGAGTTTTTCTTATGACATTAAGCTCTTGTGTCTGTGTTTCCTATTTGGATATCAATGCCTTCTCCCTCATCATAGCCTTCAACTGATCTCTCATGTTCAATTTCCTGATACAACTCTTTTTCCAAGTCCTTGTCTAAATTCCCTGTGTAAAACCTTCTGACTTTCTGAGTAGTAAATTGGACAAACCCCACACTCTTTGATTTTTAAAAGGTCACCAAGTTCTCTGCCACTAGTTGTATAAGTTGTAATATAGAATTTAAAAGAAACCTTTCTTTCATTCCTTCTGAGTATGGTGTCACAAAGGAATGGATCATACCATACAAAAATATGATCCATTTCCAAATCTGTAACCAGTTTAGGCTTCCACTTAGACTTATTTCCCACTTCCGTCCTGAAAAATGACATTTTCGTGCAGGAAGTGAATGAGATTTGGGCTGTTCTGGGTTACTATCGGAGAGCTCGTTTTCTTTTAGAGGTGATCTCTCACTACTACATTGTTTTTCCCTTTACTACACCTTACCAGTCTCCCTTATAATAGATCGTGGACAGTTTGAATTTTTAATATTAATCTTTACTCTTTAGGCCTGTTTAGATTGACTTATTTAAGCTTATCTATTGACGCTGACACTAGTGAGAGTGTGCGCTTTATGGAAACAATTTATGACATGCCTATAAGCTTTTTGGGATAGTTTATGAAAACAATTTACATTTGTTAGGGCGCAAAGAAAATAGTTGCAGAAGGAGGCAGTATTCCTAAAACGGCTTCTTTGTTAAGAAAGATTCCTGGAATTGGAGACTATACATCTGGAGCGATTGCCTCTATAGCATTCAAAGAGGTTTGTAGCTTCTGTAATTCTTGTTACTGAAAAGTAACTATCAGCTATTTCTTATGATCTAAATTATCAGGCGGTACCTGTGGTTGATGGAAATGTGATAAGGGTCATTGCCAGACTAAGGGCTGTTTCTGAAAATCCGAAAGACTCGGCAATCATTAAGAGATTTTGGTGAGTGTTTGTAAACTTCTGGAACAAGTTATTCATCATTTTTTCTCGTAAGATGTTATAATCACCTGCTTGCGTTTTCTTCCTTTACTTATTTTGTTATTTATTTTGATGTGTTGAAATGGAGATTAAGGGAAATAGCAGCTCAGTTGGTCGATCCTCTTCGTCTGGGAGACTTCAATCAGGCTCTCATGGAACTTGGTGCAACTGTATGCACCCCTTTGAACCCAAGCTGTTCCTCGTGTCCAGCATCCGAATTTTGTCATGCGCTATCAATCGCTAAACGTGACAGTACAGCAGCGGTTACAGATTATCCGATTAAGGGTGTGAAGGTTAAACAAAGATCCGATTTTTCAGCTGTATGTGTTGTTGAATTACTTGGAGATGAAAAACAATCTAGCAGCAAATTTGTTCTCGTAAAACTGGTTACATGAGACTTTTAAATTGGTTACAGATTTGGGAAAAGGAGAAGAAGAAAAGTTGAGAACGTCAATACACTACGCCAAAAATGATTTTTTGTATCACCTAATTTAATAGCACTTTTAAAAAAAATGCTATTAAAATGGAAAAAACACATTTATAATAGCACTTTTTAATCGGGCGCTATTATATAATACAGACTATGTAATTTTGATAGCACTTTGTACCAGAACGCTATTATTAAACTTCTTTAAGATAGCATTTTGTATAAAACGCTATTATTTGACTACCTATATAATAGCACTTATTAAAAAGCGCTATGTTATATATAATAATTAATTAATTAATTAATTGATAAAAAAAAAAAAAAACACATTTTCCCCCGCACCAAAACCCCAATATCTAAACCCAAACCCATTGCGAAGGAGTAGCACCGTGGCATCACCAAACGATCACCAACTTCACTCACTCGCGATAATGGCAATGGACGATTCACATTCATCTCTGTTCAACCTAGGTATTCTCGACACTCTCACCCAAGACGAACTTCACGAAATCCTCGACAGCTACGACGCCTTCTGCAACGCCACACAATCTCTTCTCGGCGGTGCCGGCGACCTCTCATACGGTGCTCAATTTGTTTCCCATGTTCACACCCTATTCGTGATTTTGAGTAGCTGTAATGAGGGTTTGTGAGGTTAAGTTGCAGTTGTGAGTTTGTGGTTAAACTGTTTGATGAAATGCCTAACTGAGTTTTTCATTTCAAAAAACAGATGGAGTTGACTTTAACCGAACAAGATGCCGCTCATTGGGTTTACAGAGGTGAAGGTGCTGCTAATATTGTTGTCTCATACACTGGTTCTTCTCCTTCTTACGTATGTTTATTCTTGTAACTCAATTTTGCTTAATTTAATGTTTATAGTTTAAGGCCAATTTGTATTGTGTTTAGAATTTATTTGAGTTTTTCTTATGACATTAAGCTCTTGTGTCTGTGTTTCCTATTTGGATATCAATGCCTTCTCCCTCATCATAGCCTTCAACTGATCTCTCATGTTCAATTTCCTGATACAACTCTTTTTCCAAGTCCTTGTCTAAATTCCCTGTGCCTAAAACCTTCTGACTTTCTGAGTAGTAAATTGGACAAACCCCACACTCTTTGATTTTTAAAAGGTCACCAAGTTCTCTGCCACTAGTTGTATAAGTTGTAATATAGAATTTAAAAGAAACCTTTCTTTCATTCCTTCTGAGTATGGTTTCACAAAGGAATGGATCATACCATACAAAAATATGATCCATTTCCAAATCTGTAACCAGTTTAGGCTTCCACTTAGACTTATTTCCCACTTCCGTCCTGAAAAATGACATTTTCGTGCAGGAAGTGAATGAGATTTGGGCTGGTCTGGGTTACTATCGGAGAGCTCGTTTTCTTTTAGAGGTGATCTCTCACTACTACATTGTTTTTCCCTTTACTACACCTTACCAGTCTCCCTTATAATAGATCGTGGACAGTTTGAATTTTTAATATTAATCTTTACTCTTTAGGCCTGTTTAGATTGACTTATTTGAGCTTATCTATTGACGCTGACACTAGTGAGAGTGTGCGCTTTATGGAAACAATTTATGACATGCCTATAAGCTTTTTGGGATAGTTTATGAAAACAATTTACATTTGTTAGGGCGCAAAGAAAATAGTTGCAGAAGGAGGCAGTATTCCTAAAACGGCTTCTTTGTTAAGAAAGATTCCTGGAATTGGAGACTATACATCTGGAGCGATTGCCTCTATAGCATTCAAAGAGGTTTGTAGCTTCTGTAATTCTTGTTACTGAAAAGTAACTATCAGCTATTTCTTATGATCTAAATTATCAGGCGGTACCTGTGGTTGATGGAAATGTGATAAGGGTCATTGCCAGACTAAGGGCTGTTTCTGAAAATCCGAAAGACTCGGCAATCATTAAGAGATTTTGGTGAGTGTTTGTAAACTTCTGGAACAAGTTATTCATCATTTTTTCTCGTAAGATGTTATAATCACCTGCTTGCGTTTTCTTCCTTTACTTATTTTGTTATTTATTTTGATGTGTTGAAATGGAGATTAAGGGAAATAGCAGCTCAGTTGGTCGATCCTCTTCGTCTGGGAGACTTCAATCAGGCTCTCATGGAACTTGGTGCAACTGTATGCACCCCTTTGAACCCAAGTTGTTCCTCGTGTCCAGCATCCGAATTTTGTCATGCGCTATCAATCGCTAAACGTGACATTACAGCAGCGGTTACAGATTATCCGATTAAGGGTGTGAAGGTTAAACAAAGATCCGATTTTTCAGCTGTATGTGTTGTTGAATTACTTGGAGATGAAAAACAATCTAGCAGCAAATTTGTTCTCGTAAAACTGGTTACATGAGACTTTTAAATTGGTTACAGATTTGGGAAAAGGAGAAGAAGAAAAGTTGAGAACGTCAATAGTTAAGGAGGCGTATGTGGTGGATCGTTGTTTGAACTGACTTGGAATTCTGTGTCCTGGCAGACATACCTCGGCGCTGTTATAATTGTAGCTGTGGGTTTGGAATATGTACTTTCTCACTAATACATTGTGAAAGGCAGCACTTTTCATTGTTAACACGGCATCTTCCGTCATGCAGGCAAGGGAGGGTCCATCCAGTTTCATCTTAATGCTATTCATTATCGAAATGTATTTGTTCTGTCCAATCATGTTTACTGAAAAAGTCTTCAAAGTGGATACAGTCGTTAACGACAAGCAGTTGCCAGCCTGAAACTCTTTGATGCTTATTTGGCGTAGTGGGTAGAGGATAGAAAAGTTGGGGTGGGAATAGATTTTTCCAAAAACAGCAAAAATGCTTTGAAATGGGCCATTGTAAATATGGCAGATAAAGGTGATACTTTTTATCTCATTCACATCAACTCCAATTCTTCTGATGAGTCTCGTAATAAGCTGTTTGCAAAAACTGGTTCACGTGAGTTCTATATTTTTTAAATCCATTTGGGTTCTTATAATTTATTATATTCTATGTTTTTGTATGATCCTCATACTGTAGATTGGAATATACATTTTGTTTTCTTCATTTTGTAGCACTTATTCCATTGGAAGAGTTGAAAGAGGCAGGAGTTATGAAACGATATGGTGTGCAAACTGATGTTGAGGTTATTGATCTGCTTGAGATTGCTGCCACACAGAAAGAGGTGTTTTAAACTATGTAAAAAACTCATAATATTGTGATTTAGATCAGAGTTCCATCATATCTTGGTTTCAAAATCTTGTTAGAGTCTCTCTAGATCACAAATTTTATACTTATGAAATTGTACTTTTGTAGGTGAGCGTTGTTGCAAAATTGTATTGGGGTGATGCAAGGCAGAAACTTATGGACTCTATTGAAGATCTAAAGCTAGATGCTCTTGTTTTGGGAAGCAGAGGCCTTAGCACAATCAAAAGGTTCATACAAATTTATGGCCTCATATTTTAAATTTTTGTTAGTTTTGACGTTACTAGAGCTTTCTTTTTTGGTTCAAATGTTAATAGTGATAAAAACTAGTATTTTCCTGTGTATTTATTGTGATTTTTGCTTCTTGGACTTATTTTTTTCATGGTAAAAAAATATAGGATATTGCTGGGAAGTGTAAGCAACTTTGTGATGGTTCATTCCCCATGCCCAGTGACTATTGTGAAGGATTATTCAAGCAGCAGCAGCGACTAGCTTGTCCTGTTGGTATCTTTTTCTTGCAATGTACTTGGGCTAACAATGGAGTTATTCATCCAAATATCTGCTGTTAGCTTCTCCAAATAATAATAATAAATATAATTGGAGAGCTTTATTAATTTGGCCATGTAAATTAACTATAGTGAACTCCTTGCTTATTATAATTTTATATATTTCTATGAGTAAATTTATAATGTTAATACTTCCTCCATTTTTTATTTATTATAAGTTACTTTAAAAGAGTAAAGAGTCACTACGCCAAAAATGATTTTTTGTATCACCTAATTTAATAGCACTTTTAAAAAAAATACTATTAAAATGGAAAAAACACATTTATAAAAAAACAAACAAAAAACATGCAAAATACTGACTTTGATAGCACTTTAATTAAAACGCTATTATAAACTGGTACTTTAATAGCGCTTTTAAAGTGCTATTAAATAAGAAATATTTACAATAGTGGCGCGGTTAATAACACTTTTAAGCGCTATCAAAAACAAAAAAAAAGCGCTATTAAATAGCTTATTTGGCGTAGTGTTGATCCAACACTATGAATCAATGCTCCTAGTATCTCCCCCCAACATGGTATCAGAGCCTTTGGTTCGATAAAGGGATCAAAAGAGACTTGTATCGAGATGCACCCAAGAAGTGGTGTTCCGTTTCAAGATGTCAATGGCGATACAAGTGGAGGAGCATTGTGGACTCACACTTGAGGAAGAGTATTGGAATAATATAGCAAGTGTGAGTGAGTAGGGAAATAGTCCCACATTGGATAGGAATGTGGATACTTAAGAATATATAAGTGGGAGAATCCACTAACCTAACACTTTAAAGTTTTAGGTGGATAAGTGGTGTGTCTCTCACAAAAGTGATTATTCATACACTATGTATCAATGCTTCTAATATCTCCCCCAAACATGGTATCCGAGCCATTGGTTCGAGAAAGGGTTTGAAAGAGTGGGGGAGCATTGTGGACTCACACTTGAGGGGGAGTGTTGGAATAATATAGCAAGTGTGAGTAAGTGGGGAAATAGTTCCATATTGGATAGAAATGTAGAGACTTTAGCATATATAAGTGGGTGAACCCACTCACCTATTACCTTAAGGTTTTAGATGGAGAAGTGGTGTGTCTCTCATAAAAAGGTGGTTGTTCCTACACTATGCATCAATGCTCCTAGTATCTCCCTCCAACATGGTATCAGAGCCTTTGGTTCGAGAAAGAGACCAGAAGAGACTTATATCGAAATGCATCCAGGAATGGAGTTCCGTTGCAAGATGTCATTGGAGGTACAAGTGACAGAGCATTATGGACTCACACTTGAGGGGGAGTGTTGGAATAATATAACAAGTGTGAGTAAGTTGGAAAATAGTTCCTTATTAGATAGGAATGTGGAGACTTAAGCATATATAAGTGGGAGAACCCACTCACCTATCACCTTAAGATTTTAGGTGGATAAGTGGTGTGTCTCTCACGAAGGTGCCTAGTCCTACACTATATATCAATGATCCTAGTATCTCCCTCCAATATTCCTAACATCCATGTCAATCATCACACATACTGTAACCTTTAGATTCATCTTCACGAATGACTACCTTCAGGTTTATTCATTAAACTTATGTTTCGATTTTGTTTACATTTCTTGTTAAATATGGTTTCTCGTTTTTCCATTTGGTGAATATTCCATGTAATGCTATTTATGTCTTGGTGTTTTATTTACTTACAAGAAAGTGAATGAAGAAAAACACTTTAATAAAGCGCATACTTTGGCTATGCTACATATGATTTTTGTTTCTATAAAGTTTTGTGTAAATTTCTTCCACCTTGTATTTCTTTTTAGAGCAATATAAACTAGATGAACTTCATCATAATTCCAATTCAATGATTGTTTTCAATAAAAGGCGTGTTCTTGAAACATTTTACTATATCTTGTGTTATTGTATATTGTTAGTGTTTGTTAATAGAAGATATGTTTTTTATATTGTTGTATGTTATTGTTGTATTGTTGTTGTTGTTGAATAATATTCTCATAACAAGAATAAAACATTGCTAAGTCACAAGAAAAAAAGGCTTCTTGTGACTTAGCAATGTTTTATTCTTTAGATTCTTATGCAGATTGAAAAAAGATAAAATTGAGTTTATTATATTGTATTTAGATTGTTTGTTTCTCTAACCTTCACTGAAAATTCATTCATTTTAATGGATATAGAAACTTATAATCTAAAAATTAAGTTGTATTTGAAAACTAGCGTATATCAATCAACATTTTACAAAATACACCCTCGTATCGTAAATAATCTCACGCTATTTAACATATAGAATGTGGTTCAATGACCTAAGTTCTTCATGGCATCGACATCTTCTCTTATAGTTTGATTTGTATAACATAATTTTATTGACTATGTCTATCTCATTATTGTCACTTATCATCGTGATTGTTATGATGATAGTCAACGTCACAATCATCATGATAAGTGATAGTAATGAGGTAGGCTTGACCAATAAATTGATGTTATTAAAATAAAACTCGAAGCAAAGCAATCAATACCACAAAGGACTTAGGCCATTGAACCATGTTCTAAAAGATATGAGTTGTGACATGCATGTAATTTTAAAAACAATTTAACTTGTTTTTTAAGAATATTATATAATAATATCTAGATACTTTCTAGAATAATGTTCTACTATAATTGTGATGAAATGTTCTTTGTAGCTGCAGAACCTAGTACCAAAATATATATAACAACGGTTGATAATCATAGTCTCGCGACTGTGATGGAAAATACCATATATACAATCACCCATTATCTTACCTCACCTTACAATGGTTGGTCATTCAATGCGATATTTCTTTTTCCAACTGTTGTGGTATATTTTTTTTATAAGTAGTGTCAAAACCATTCTTTTTATTATTATTATCATTAGTATTATTAATACTAATAGTAATATTTTTATTAAAAAATTGTTGTATTATTGTTATTATAGTCCGCATCTATTGTATCATGTGTGTCTATGTATTCTTCTTATTTGATGTATATGTTTCTTAGCTTATTTACCTATATTTTCTCTATTATCTATCTCGTTTCGATGTTGTCAAAGGAGAAGCAATAATGTGAGTTTAGATTTTATTTATGTGTTTTATGCTATTTGTGGTTCTATGCAATGTTTCAGGGAGAACACAAGCAAAAAGAGAAAAACAATTACAAGTTTGTCGCACATAAAAAAGGAGTGACCTAATGTTTTCTGAAACCTGGAGCTTGAACATATATTATTACTATTATTTTTTTTATTATTATTATTATGATAAAATATTATTAATAATAATAATAATAATAATAATAATAATAATAATAATAATAATAATAATATTAATAAAGAAGAAAAAAATAAAATGAAAAATTGAAGTAATTAATATTATTTACCATAACAAAATGAAAATAAAAAGTCTAAATTCATAAGAAAAGAAAGTTATATTGGTGTTTTAATGTCACTGACTACCTTTGACTTGCATAGTTTTAATAAGCCATTATAAGATATTAAAAATAGATAATCAATTCTCCATAAAATCACAAAACTATAAATATTGAAGATGTTCCTTTATCAAACACCTATGTATGATTATATTTTTCATTTTTAAAAATATTTTAAATGTTTGTGGGAACTGTTTCACTTATCACTTTTATAATTATTGGATGATAATTGTATGATTATCCTATTTAATTTTCAATAAGAAAATTATTATATATACTATTATTTTTTATTAAAAAGTTAAAAAAATACTAAAAACATAAATATTGATTATTAAATATTATTTTCCATGTAATGGAAAAATAATAATGAAATGTTATTTATCGTCCATGTAAACACTGTCTTATTACACTTGAAGTAATTATTTTTTGTGTCAACCAAAGACGCATGACTCACTGTTTAGCGCTAGTCAAAGATCTGAGATCCAATGCTACTCCATTCGGCCTAATATATAATTATTTTCACAAAGGATTCTGAGATACACAATCACTAATCTCTATTTTCACTCCCATCTATCTTAAATCCGAAACTAACATGTGCGTTTGAGTGCTAACCATGTATATATCTCCCATAAGTCCACTGCATCAGAGATAGCAGCACTGGTTAACAACATTGCATCAACATTGATTCCTCTTTTTCGAAAAACACCTTGATCTCAACATTCAATCTACGATGTTACATTGATGTAGTGTACCGGAAGCTCCATTCTACCGTAGTTTCCGCAATTTTCACAATTTCTAATTCCGCAACGGAATTGTGACGCTGTCTATAAAAAACGACTTCTGATTCCTATGATTTTCCAGATATAAATTTATCAATTTATCATCCATCCACATATCCATAGTCCATATCCATCCTTCCATATCTATTCGCATTAGTATATTTGTTGATTTATATGTACAACAACTTGTTTACAACAATAAATTATTAAAAAATACAAATAAATGTTGTTTCTAAAAGTTAAGCAACCCCGTAATTTATCTATCTACGTTTTGAGTATACTAATATTTTTATAAGAAGATAACTTTTTCAAGGTTATTCTATCTATAAATAAATAAACAATTTTTATTTTAAAAAACTTATTTTTAAAATATACTGCAATAGTCTTATGAAATGGTATGAATATAAAAAAAATTACATTTGTCATATTGATTATAATCCTAAAAATTAAAATAAAATTCTAAACAGTTTATGTTCCTCATATTATTATAGAAAATATCTTTTGCCAAACAGTATTACAACGGTCTTTCATTAACCGTAGTGAAATATCATTTTTCGACGTATTTTCTTTTTGTTTTTAGTAAAAGATATTTCACTACGATGAATGTTTAAATCTGTAGTGACATGTACCAAGAGTTACGAGGTTCGAATCCCAGCTCTTTCAATATCCCATTTTATTGTCACAAAAATGGAATGTCCTTGTATATCACTACTGTTATTTTAGTCAAATGTATTATAAATTTAAATCACT